GGGAGGGGGATTGCCTGTTTTTGTTTTGGTTCAAAGTTCAAGGTTCCTGTGTGCCAAATTTGGTCTCTTCTGGAGCATTGCCTGTTTTTGTTTCGGTTCAAAGTTCAAGGTTGCTGTGTGCCAAATTTGGTCTCTTCTGGAGCACTGGAATATCCTCTGCTGAGATTTCTGAAATCTCTCAAGATTTCTGAAATAGGAATGAATGTGAGCGAAACTAGCGTTAAAGTGCACTTTTGCCTTGCTGTTTTGTGGGTTTTTTTTTTGTTTTTTTTTTGGGCGGGGGGGGGGGGGGCAATTAGCTAGTGTGGTCTCCACTCTATCCATTGGTGGCAAGTTTGGTTAAAATGACCCTTGGGTTTTCTTATAAATGGCATCATGACAAATCGTCTGGAGGCAGGAAACTGCATCCCCTACCTTGCGGCCCACTCTACTTACCACAGTTTGACAGCTTCCAATGCCCCCCTTTACCCATGTAAAACTCAGCAACCCCCTCCCCCCCCCCCCCCCCCCCCCCCCCCCCCCCCTATCCCACCCAACAGTCTCAACAGTGCACTTTACAGGACAACCTCAAAGCCTAATCCATTTGATGCCCCACCCCTCTTCTACAACTTGCATCCATGCCCATCGTTTTCTTTTTTTTAAATGCACATCGTTTTCGAAAATGATTGGATCGGTTTGGGGGGGGAAAAAAAAAAAAAAAAAAACTTGCGGTTAGGATTTCAGTACCTCCCCTGATCGCGAGAGACCTAACCCTCAGGGACCCTGGCCACACTTCTTCTGCGACCCCCAGTTGCCATTCAGCAGCCTCCATACATACTCTCAAAACACGATTCTCCTACAACCCCCCTTCTCCCATACCCCCCCTTCTCCACCACTGACTTCCTTCGTTGATGCCTTATCCTTCCTTTACTTCACAATCGGTCAAAAAAAAAAAACAAAGGTGCACCCACTGACCGCCCTTCACCACACATCTTCCATCTCTCCCCCATCAACATAGAGGCAAGCATGTCTCTCTCTCTCTCTCTCTCTCTCTCTCTCTCTCTCTCTCTCTCTCTCTCTCTCTCTCTCTCCCCCCCTCCCGCTCTCGTTCGCTTGCTCCATATGAAAATGATGAAGAAGAAGAAGTAGAAGAAAGAGAATGTAGAAGAAGAAGGGGAGGAAGAAGAATAGTGAAAACAGTGGCCATAGACTGCTTCTCGTACACGCACCAACAGATTTACATTTCTTCTCCGCATGTACAGTTCTCAGAAAAAACGCGCAATTTCCCCGACGCGTTTCGGCCAGGCTGCGCTCCTGGCACTCCTCAGGGGGCTTCTCCCCAGATCCGCCTTGCGGCAAAAGAACAAAAAAAGAACAAATTGCCGAAAAAAAGATGGGGTGTGTCATTTGCTTTGTTTGATCGATAGGCCTTCCTCTTCCTCTTCCCTTATCTTCTCTTTGACTGAATCCCTTTCTCTTTCTCTTGCCTCTGTGCGGTTTGGTTTCCTCCTCCCTCCTTTTCTTTACCTCTTTTTTGCCTTTTGGCTGCGTGCAAGTGGGTCCTCGTGACACACGGGGATGGGAGCAGCAGCCGGCGCTGAACCTGTCATCCACGTGGTCGGCCTTGTACGTAAGAGGTGATGAACAGGCGGGGAGCTTTCCTTCCTTCCTTCTTTCCATTTTTGTTTTGTCGTTTTTCGCCTTTGCGCTCCGATATAAATATTGTCACAAGATATCAGAGCGCAAAAGCGAAGAAAACCAAGAAAAAAATGAATTCATTTTCTTATCTTCTTTACAAGACTCCCCCTGTTCAGAACCTCCTCTTGCGTACAAGGCCGCCCATTTGGATGTAGAGCAAAATGGGGCATCAATAAAAAGAAAAAGATCAACCACATCACCATAGCCTCCTGCTTCTCGTTTTCCCCTCCGACTATTCATCGAATCTGCATCCTCATCTTCCCACCCACCCCTCTCTCGTTATCATGATCGTAATCTATCTCTCCTCCCCCTCCCTTCGACCCCTTTTTTTTGGGGGGGAGGGGGAATCCTTCGACCCCTTTTATCTACGAATCATCATCATCATCGTTTCTCCATTCCCCCCTCCCTTCCTGTGCTCCCCTCGAGGTAGGATGATATTGGCTTCGACCCCTTCTTTTTTTTTTTGAACCCTTCGACCCCTTCTATCTTCGACCGGCTTTCCACATGGAACTGGAGATATGCAGAGGCTGACGTGGAGGAGGACTACGCGGAGAGAAGGATGACATGGGGGGAAGGACAACAGAAGAAACACGTGCAGGAGGAAGAACTTGAAGGGGAAAATACGGAGGAAGGAATATGGTAAGCGAAATAGACAGCGAAAAGAGGAACTAATCAAGAGAGCCAAATGAAACCGCCATAGCCCCCTACGCCTTTTCCCATCCCGCTTCTTCCCACGGTCAGCAACGTCGTATTCCTACCCCTCCTCCTCCTCAGCTCACCCGCTGATTAAAAAACAAAGTAGTCCTATATTGCAACTCTCTCTCTCTCTCTCTCTCTCTCTCTCTCTCTCTCTCTCTCTCTCTCTCTCTCTCTCTCTCTCTCTCTCTC